GTACTCTCGTACTTCCGGCCTGTGCAATGGCTTAGCGCTCTATGATAATTGAGAGGTTGTCTACAACCTCGAAGCACCCGACAGCTTGTGGGATAAGTGGTCCTAATACATTTATCTATAAGGTGTCCTAAGTTCGTGCATGGTATGGTATAGTATAGTATGAGCGTGGAGTAAGAAGGGTTTACTAATGAAGAAGCTTTGCAAGTCGACATACTTCACTGTTACTTTTCCGTTTATTAATTTAACAGATCAAGGAATCCAGATTTTACGTAAATAAAATGCACTTACCTGGCAACATTGTGCAAACGAAATTCGAAGAAAATCTAATTCCAACACAAAACGATGGCGTGTCGGGAGACAATTTATTGTGGTCAATTTGTTAAACCGAACTGCAGGGAGAAGAACATGGTCATTCGGTCTGAATTTTCGACAGTTTGAGTGCCAGTCTGATCCAATTTTATACAGAGAAGTACAACGAAAGTTCGGCGAACTTAACTGACTTAACCGACTTTTCTCACCGTTTTACACGGTATATTTCTATTCAGATATCCAAACAACTGTATTTATGTACACGACAAAATAGAATGTCTGTAATACGATGCGAGTATTTTCAACGTTAAAGACGACATTATCCAATGACTCTGCTCTACTTCAATAAAATTAACAAAAAGGAAAAAATAAGATCTCGATAGGAAAGCTAATTTTTCTCGATTAATTCTGTGTAAATTCATAAATATCTCGAATATAAATTGTAGATAATATTAAGATACTATATTGAATAAATTTAGAAGTACTCCTATAAGTGAAAGTGCCTAATAATATTTCTTATGAGTTTATATAATTTTCAGTTCGACCAAACTATGCTTCGATTACTTATCGATCTTGAAATACAGTATTAAACCAAAACTGGAGTAGTAATATCACAAATTAAATTTATAAGCTATTTAATATTATTAATGCAAATAAGCATCTTAGAAAGCTGTTAATAATTTGATGCTAATAAGCATCTTAAAAACTAAATAATTTATTGCGAAGAATATTACTTCAGCTGAGATTCGAACCCAGATATTTATTATTTGTATCACAATAATATTAAATTGCTTGTCAATTTAATTTGTGGTACTACTCTATCTTTAGTTTAGTTTAGAACTGTGTTTTAAGATCGGCAAATAATCGATGCACAATTTGCTTAAATTGGAAATTGTATAAATTCACAAAATGTATTGTTAGCCATGAAGAACTTTAATCGAATATGGCATTTTTTACTTATGTGTATTCAATCTCGTCGATCGATTCTCACTTAATATCGTTTAAAAATATTCAGAGAACTTTTTAAAAAGGCAATTAAAAAATAGTCTTCAAGCAAAAGTAAAAATATATTCAAGTTTCAGCAACAATTGCACTCTGTGTTGTAATTTTGTTTTGAATTGTATTTAGTAGATTTGACAAAAACTTTTTTCATTAATCCGTATCTCTATGTAAAAAGTATCACTTATATAATCGCTTAACCGGAGCTAACCATCAGCGCGCTTAATGTGCCTATTAAGCGAACTATCAGCCTCAGTAGAGGTTCATACGCTGCATGGATTCTCCGGTCTGAAGGTCTCGACAGCTTGCGGGTTAAGTGGTTGTAATACATTCAGCTGGAATGTGGTCCAACTTTCCACATACACAATGGCCAAGGGGTTGGGAGACGATGGGAAGGGGTGTGCGAGACGGTTGGCTCAACCGACAGCCACGCTGCTCTTTCGCTTTCCATGGTTCTGTATAAACCGCCTAGTGAATGTGTTTGCGTACGCGGGGACCATGGAGTACTCGCGTGGAAGAAGAACGTTGGGAAGGACGAAGAAAGTTGATCTTGACGTTAACTATAGGTCTCCCGGTCCAGACGTTCCAAGGGATGGGTAAGGAGGAGGAAAGGGAGTCACGAACCAGTCGTGGAAAGAGAGAAATAGAAAAGGGGAGAACGTTGTAGAAAAGAAGATACCGACAGCATAGCCAGCGCCAAGCCAGACTGGACGGCGCTGAGCTCGTCGCCCTCGTAGTAAACAAAGCTGTAACTCTCCTCTCACGCTGAGGAATCAATGCTTCGTGCCACGGCTCTTGGGGGAACAAACTCCTCCAGCAAACCCCCTCGCGCGCCCGCGCATCCATCTTAGTTTTGGTGTGGCTTGCATGTTGATGCGCCGGAAAGCGAGCTGCAAGTCGGAAAGATGGTCACTCGAATTTGCTTTCCGCGTAGCTCTTCTTGTCACCTTCGTACCGCGTCTTAAACTTTACGAAACACCAATTTTATATCGTTGCGAACGGATCGTCGAGGTCGCCGTGAAGTGACAAAGCAGATAAAAGATAGAAATTGGTTTCTCATTGCATGGAGATTGCGTCGGTGCCGTTGAGAATTACGCTTTTAATAATGGACTTCTCTGTCTTATAACTGATTGCGTACTGCAATATTTTTCTTGTTCTTCTTTTTCTTTTTGTGTTTATTGAATGCAATAAGAATCTCGAGAAGAAACAGATTCAACGCTTGCTGTTACAAAGCAAGCAATGACAATCAAAGGAAATAGAGAATACAATAGTATTTCCTTCGATTATCCGTATGCCAATGAAAAAGATCAAACGAAGCTAAGGACCCTTATTGTTCTGTAAAGAACATAGGTGCCCAGCCTTATATAACTCATTTTATCTGGATCTTCTCCAAGAATTTTTGAAAGAATGTTACGAAGTTGAGAAAACTCTTTTAAAATGTACGAAAAGGATCGCATCATTTAACAATTTCTGCTTTATCTAGAAAATAAATTTTTCTAATGAAGTGAACGTATTAATTTATAGCAAAATATATCACAAGTCAACTTATAACCGCGTGAGATGACTATTTCAATTAACACATAATTCATGTATAAAACAGACGATTCTGTTTTATTTTTAATGTGGTTGTTTGTAAAATAAAGTTAAATTTTATAAATTCAGTACATTTTTATGTCACTATGACGAAACAAGTTATGTCTAGAAAAATTATATTTTAATATATTCGACAAACTGGAATAAAAAATAACATTTAAAAAAAGAATTGTATGCAAATCGTACCGCAAGGCTGTCACCATGAAATTCGAACAATTGATACGTTGTCGCGGAAAGGCAAATGATGAAAGTGTCAACTGCGTTTTTCAGTATCTATGCAATCCCACCGACGCGACGCCGGGAATCCCCGCCGAGATTCGTATATCTCTGTGAAGATAACCGCCGACAGCCGCCGGTGTAAGAGCGACTGGATAAATGGTGGACGAAAATTCGGTTACGGTCGGAAGACGCGAGAAACAACTGCGAAACGATCTTAGTTCCAAGTCAGAAGCGAATAGTTACGCTTGTTGTGATTTATGATCGTAGAAACTTCGTTTCTCTATTACATTAATCGATTGTAAAAGGTAAATCTACTTAAGTAAGGTAAATGTATTAGTTGGTGGACAGTTAGTAGGCTTGATCCATCATTGGGTAAAATGATAAAAACTTTAGTATTAGGTTTTTAATGATATGTATGACTTTAAATAAATTCATTGATTATATAAGTTTAATAAGACAAATTTATTTAGAGTTATATATATCATTAAAAGCTTAATATTGAAAATTTTTGTCATTTCGTTTAATAATTGGATTATGTCCGGATTATGTCTAACTGAGAGATACGTCTACCTTACATCTGATTATATCGCGAAGACTTTAAATCCTCTTGCATCTTTCGAGAAGTTGCATTTCGAAAATCTTATCTTTTATTCTTCTCGTAAATAATATTATAAAATTGTATTATAATATAATTATGTATTATTAATTACAATACAATTGTGATTTTTATGATAAATTGCAATAAGCTATTCTCTTTTATTTTCCCGCGCCTCTCTGGCAAGTTTCTCGCGAACATTACGGGTTAGCGTCGCGACGCCGAGAGTTATCACGATGGCGCAATATAGCCTGTCTGTACAACAGCGCATTTGCACATTGTGAAAAGGAGCGAGCTGTGTTGAAGTGCAACGTTCTTCGTGCTCGAGCGAAAGAACTCGCTGCCCTTCTTATTTCTCCAGGGACTTTTCGCAGCGAGCGAATGAGAGATCAGAATTCTCTTTATTCTCTACCTCCTCTCGTTTCTCTTTGTTACCTTTCTTCGGCCTTCACTTTCTTCGACGTGAATAGGAAAATCGGCTAAATATCTCAGAGCACTTCCGTATCCCGTTGTCGCGATACTTTCTACTTATCTCCGGTTTTCTTATTCTATTTCCCCCTAAAGAAGAGGATGGAAACTTACATATTTCGAGCGACAATAACAATCGATGCTATTCAACGAGTTATACAGAATACAACCATCCGGATTCTCAATAAGCGGTCATTTAACGAGAGAAATGGTCGAAACTCTCTCTACGGGGACCAGTTTTTACTCGTCTACACACAGCGTCATCGCGTGCTCTCGGATAACTTTGCTCGTATAAAACATCAAGCGCATATCACAACGCGTTATATACATATACATATACATTGCACGTTAGTACATATGCCTTCGAAATCCCGGAACGATTTATCCCACTGGTGAATATCTATAACCATAGTAGGTTTGTAGATCACTCCATGCTTGAAAGCATCATTGATCATCCGTCTCGTTCGCGAATCTCATTCCTATATTTCTTTATTCTTTTCCTTCCTTTATATCGTTACTATACATCTTTATTCTTTCTCCATATCCTCCTTGCATTTTGCAACTAAAAACTGAAAAGATATATATCTATCCTTGTAATCTACCGTTCCTGTGGTGGTTGAGGAATCTTTTTATTCAAAATCATCTTAACGTTAATGAGAAAACAAGGTAGAAAATAACGCGTTTTATGAAATACACATACAATTTTTAATGGGAATGATATTGCGAAAATCATTATGAAAACGGACAGTAATTTTGTAATAATCGATACACGAGCTGCGTTTATACGATGTACAATGTGATATCCATCTCGTTTCAGGTGGCCTGGATGCTTTTCGACAAGAGCGCTATTCTGACGGTACAGAATCACGTTATTACCAGGAACCCCAGAATATCCGTGTCGCACGATAAGCACAGGACCTGGTTCCTACATATCAACGACGTGCACGAGGAGGACAAGGGAAAGTACATGTGCCAGATTAACACTGCTGCCGCCAAAACGCAATATGGCTATCTACACGTCGTAGGTAAGGCGCTCTACTTACGTGATATATCGATTTTTGTATAGTGTTAAAAATTGCATTCAAAAGTTACATCACTGTATTTAATATTGTAAAAAATTATCATTTTAAAAAACAGTTATATTTCGATGTCGCTTACGTACAGAATAAGTTTATAAACTTAGTTATATTAGTTTTGATGTCAGAGTAATATACTTCGATATTGCTTCTAATGTTAATAAAAATATAATTACTAATTTAAAAATAATAAAAAATTAAAAATACATTTCGCAGATTAATAATAATATTAAAGGATACTCTCTCTTTTTTTTGAATTTATAAAATTAAAATAATAATTCAATCAGAAAAGAATATTATTATATCGTAATTCAATTACATTTCTTGAGATATTATTAAATTTATGACATATATATATAACATATCTGCATAACATATATGTAATATATCTGCTAAAGATAATTTTAAGAATAGAATATATTTATTAATGGATGTAGCATATAACTATTAAAATTTAATAACTTATTCCTTTAAATATCAAATTTTAAATTAGTAGTAAATTATAATTTTATTTTTTTTTATAAAAAAATTGATTTTTTTATAATATCAGAATCCTATTTCATTTAAATAATGAGTGCTAAGGGAAAAAACTAAATATAGCCGACAAAGTTATTAATTAATAGAAGTTTTTCACTCACAAAAAAAATATTCCTGTTATTATTTGATTTTAAACTATAATATTAGGTGTTGGAATTAATTCGTAGCGTTTTTAATGAAAGAATGTTATTTATTTCACATGAGCATTAAAAAATACATTAATGAAAGTACTTCCCATCACTTGTAAAACGCTACGAATTAATTCCAACACCTAATAATTAACATTCATATACATGTTAATAATATATAAACTATATATAATTTTTAAACAAAATCCTACGTCACTATATATGGGACAATGTCAAATTGGTTTTGTTTAAAGTTATAGTTTATATTAATAATATATAAATGTTAATCACTGTTTAAAATCAACTCTTTGAAATAAAGGTTTCCATAATTGATAAATAATCGTTAGCTTTATTTCCTTTAGATATTTGTAATTCTTCCATTCTCCTATATCAAAACCATCGAAAACGTAATGATATTTACCTTAAACGGCGTATGCATTCTATGTTCATGTGTCGTAGTGCGGCATTAAATGTGTTGGACTATCATTGGATGCGAGAAATGAGAGCTTATCAACTACTCTAATATACTGCAATATCGTTATATATAATTTATTTTATATATATATTTATATATATATTTATAAAATATATTTTATATATTTTATATATATTTATAAAAGATAATTATATCTATTAGCGAATAATGATGATCTATAATTTTTCGCTAGTACATCTTATTGTATTTCATCATTTTTAAAAAAAGTACTATTTCATTTCGTTTTACGTTAATTCTGTGGCGCCATTAGCAGAGAACATGCCACGGTCGATTGTTATTTACGACTTTATCGTATCGTACTGTGAATCCATTAGATACTCGGAATAAATCTCATTTCGCGTAATGGAGTCAGTTTACCGGAGTCACGAAGTTTGCAACAGAGCATAAGCATTTTATCGCAGCCGTCTAAACAGATTTATGTTTAGAGAGCGAAAGTATCCCCTTTCCCGCTAATTTTGCATGTAAAAGCGTAACGGAGCTATAATAATTTAATCAGTAGAAGGAGAATATCAATAAGATCTCGAGATAGTCGCCATCTCTCTGCCTGCCGAGAGAACATATTAATATCTTGAGTTTTGACGTCTCAGCTGCAGCCACCGTTGAAGCGAGAGCAATGATACCGTGGATGAGGGGGGAGGGGACGGATGCGTTGGTGTGGAGTAATCAGAGGGCTAGATTAATTGTTTCCACGGGACTCTTGCTCTCCGTTGTACAAACACACACAAGATCTCCTTGTGGTACTCTCTCGACACTTCGTGATAATGCCGATGGAGCCGACACAATGGCGATCTGCCATGACTACATCGTGCATAACAAGCTTCCGTCAATGTATTTAGGTATTACTAGATATATGTCTCCACATTTACCGCATGAGATAATCCCTCGATTCATTTAGTTAACCGATTAAACAATTCCTTTTTGGAAGAAAAGTAGAATTCATTGATTCATCAACTTTATAGAGGATAACGATTAATTATCATCAGCACTATTTACTACAAAATTTATTTTTTATTTTTTAAAATACAACTTTTTATTTTTTATTACAAAAGAAACTCGAAATATTTTTTTGAAAATGATGAATTTTTCATCATGTCAAGTTTTAATATATATTTGTAAATCTTATGAAGAGAGAAGAATTGATCTGAAAAAAGTTTTTGTGTTTGATCGCACGTCATTCAAATGTCGTAAAAATACTGCCGTTAAAATTATCGATATCTCTTGCCATAGAAAGCGTTCGCTAACTTCATGACCAGATAAATATATCGGATATTATACGTCTCTTGTTTCTGTCTATTTAGTTATTAAACCTCTTTTCTGATTTCTCGATCTGTCGATCATGTGTGGTCGCTCATCACTTTTCTATAAATAAAGCAAAAGCTCAGACTTAATTAGTAGCTCGCTTCTAAATGAAATAAAAATCAAAGAAGTTGTAAAATTGAAAAGCAGAATTGGAAAGGAAATATTCAATGTATCACTGTGTTTTTAATAGCTGCTGAAAATTTTTTTATTTTTTACATTACTACTTTTTTACATTACTTTGTTACATTAATAAGATAATACATGTAAATTTATACAAATTATTTTTAACATAATTTCTCCATTTTTTAAATTAAATATTTGAAAATAAGTTTTCTTTAAAATTTTGTTATATTTTTATAAATGCTTCGAATTATATAACTTATTATCAAAATTATAATATTTATTACACAATTATTTATAAGAACAACACATTTCTTGATCGCAAATGTACTTTGTAGTTAAATCTTGTTCTATATTCGCCGTAAATGAAGTTATGAAGCGCATAAACTATGCGGCTTACATCAGTCAAGAGGCGTATCATATTGTATATTGTACGATACGATATGAACATGGCATTAGGTTCCCTAAGGGTATGCTATAATTAGCAATCTACAGCTTACAATGACTTCATTCACGATGAAGCTCAATAATCATCCCAGAATAATTCTGTCTTTTGAATGTTAATCACAATATTCCAGTAGAACAAAACAGCGTTTTAGGATTATAACAATAATACAACGTATTTTTTCAATTTATTAAACGTAATTACGTATGTACATCTTTTTGCATCACAAAAACAAATTGTTTTTCAATCCTCTGATTTTCCAATATATATTTAAAATCTTTATTGTTATCAATTTTATCAGTATAGTATATTATTAAAATAATGAATATATTTTTATCAATTATAGATTTGTGTTGCTTATTAAAAAAAAATGAAAAATCGAGATCAGTAGTTTCGTATTTTTTCCGAAAGAAAGAACAGTTTTGTTTTGCTAAAGAGATGCTGACAAACCGATGAAAAAAACGACAGGTCCTGTTTGGAATTGTCAATATTTGGATATTTAAATGCGTGATACACGTAACGCATATTTTTGTGCACGTTCAAAATGTCAGGATGGTTGCCCGCGCGTTTACTCTCAAGACTCCCGACTTCTGTGAGCATCGTCGAGCGATCTCTCCTCCGACGTCTCCCGAACGTTGTGCTGCCGGAGTTTAGGACAAGTTAACGCACAACAGCGCGGCAACACGCGCGCGGTAGAGGCGGCGTTTGCGCTTGAATAATGCATCAACAGACCGTTACGCGACTGCAGTATAACGGTGTGCAGAATAGCGAGAGTGAGGGCAGACCGCACCTCTCGCGCGCGTTCAATCTGCCCTTGTTCAACAATTCGGTAACACCCCGCATTAGCATTAATGCAGGATATCGGCGGACATCTGCGGTAATTCATAGGATTGGCAGCGTTTCCTCATTCCCTACGCGGTGACCACGCGGCTGTTGGCAGATAAAAAGGCGCATTTTCTTTTCTTTCGGAGATCAGTTATAAGAATTATATGATATATAAAGTATCAAACGTTTTCTGGACGTATAACAATAACTTCTGCATTGTAAAAAAATTTTACGAAGAATTATAACAATTTTAGAAGATTTTGTAAAGATGTATATTTATTTTCACACACACACACACACACACACACACACACACACACACACACACACACACATATATAAATAAAATTACAACTTACAGATTACATTATTCTTTTTGTAGTAATTTGTAAAAGTACGATTAAAGTCGAGTTTGTAAAAATATTTTCATACGTAATAATTTGCTAATGAATTATGTACAATTTTTCTTGTTATATTATCAAGATATACGAATATCAAAATGCAAATATATAAATGCATAATTTATATGAAAGAAAAATTGATATTGTTTAAAAATTATTGTACTATTTTATTTTATTCAATTGATTCTTATAACAATGCAAATCATATATATATATATCGAATAATATGAAAATTTTCTTTATAATGATCTTTTGAAAAAAAAAAAATATGAAAAGAACAATATGGAAAAAATGTATTGTATCGAGATATATGCGGATGTACTGCAAATTGCAATATTCTACTCGAATTAATTTCCATTATTGAAGTTAGGGTAAAGCGGCTATTCAGTTGTACTATTTTCATTTATATGTATGAAGTTATATAAAGTATTGTTATGTAAAAGTTATATAAAATAATATCTTTTTTATCTCATATATTCAAAAATAGTTCGTTGTAATAACTTTTATATATATATATATATATATATTATTGCAATATATTAAATCGTTTGTAAAAATTAATTATGATGAATCATTAGATATCTAATTCGCATTATTTAAAGATAGAGTGTAATATAAAAAATTTTAAATTCTCGGCATTAGAGATTGCAAAATTCGAATAGAAAAATTAAATATGTCACGATATAAATAATTTCTCTTATATGTGCAAAGTTAATGCTATTTTAGGTCTTATTATTAGTGAATATTATCATCCACTGCGGCTTTTTTATTTTATTTGTTTCGCTCGCATGGTTGCATTTTTACAGGCATTGCACTTTGAGTTTTAAATTTAACGAGAGAAAGCTTCTTTTTGCTTGTCTGAGATTTCATAATTTTATTATAATTTTACGTCATCCTAGATTTCTTTTGTATTTAAGAGCGAACCTATTCTTAAATGGTAATTTGAATGAAAAAATATTACTATAGAACAATACGATTAAATTTGACAATGCGTTATATTGCATTAATTATTTCGTTAATATAATCAACATTTTTTTATTTTGAATATTGAAGTACTTACTTATAAGTATATACTTATTTGTCCATATTACAATACGAGGTAAATTATCGAGATTATATAATAAAGAAAAATTATTTATAATATGATAAATACAAGGTTCTTCTTATCTAACAAAATTTTTTGAAATTTATTTTATTTACACGAAATGTAGAAAATCATGTAAAAACTGCAAACATCACTAAATGATATATTGTCTTATATTGACAACCAAAAATGTTAAAGACATTGAAGTGACGTATATATTTTTCGTTAATATGTCGATTGTTATAAATCGATTGATTAATTAATATACGAAAAAGATGAATAATTTGGATGTGTCACAGTCGCATATAAGCAGCGTGATATTTGTCCATTTAAACATGTCAACCAATCCTAACTACTTGCATTTCCAAGTTGATCAACGTCGATGTGCAGACGACGTATGTCCATATACTAATATCATTCGTTACCACGACGACACTATAATTGAATTGTACACCTCTCGCGCACGCACGCACACGTGGTTAGTCGTTTAATTCAAGAGCAGTGACGACGTGGTCAATATACACAAATGTAAAATGCGCAATGATATCGCTGTCGTAGCACAATTAAAGAGTTATCAATAATCGATCACTGTACTGTGGTTCTGACTTATACATTTTATCTCTTTATGCAATCAAAAAGCGAGTTTCCGTAACATAATTATATTACATGCAGGGAAGAGAGAGCGATGAATTTATTAAACAAGTATATATGTCATACTATGTGAATCATATTGTAATACGTACATGTATGTGTCTCTTTATTCATGTATGTATTATATTACAAAAATATCATTTCTGTTTAATTCTCAACATTTGATTTTTAATGAGTAATGGAACTTTAAATCTTTTCGCGCAATTACATTACTTATATTACTCCTATATAGCTTTTTATCTATATGTCTCATTTTCCTATCCTGTAAATTTATAAATTTTGTATCATCAGTGGTTGACCACAACACTTTATGTTTATTGTTATAGTGCCACCAAATATTGACGATTCGCAGAGCTCGTCGGATGCAATCGTTCGCGAGGGCGCCAACGTGAGTCTCACCTGCAAAGCGACCGGAAGTCCAACGCCTAGTATTCGTTGGAAACGAGACGATGGTACCAAAATCTCGATCAACAAAACTTTAGCTGGTACGTACAATATAATTTGATGGCGAGATTTTATATCAGTAGACAAAACGATTATATATTCTTGGGTAATACTCTGATATTATATTTTTTTACTGTTATTATTTTCTCTTACTATTATTATTTTATTATTATATTACATTTCTCTTTTAAAATACATTATCTAAATTTGCTATATTTTGATTCATTTTATTTTTTATTTTGCAACTTATCTCAACAAACAATTTATTAGTTTGTTATTTCGATTGTATTATATATGCTATTTTATATAGACTTAGGCTTTAAGGCAAAATTATGCTGATGCCATTTAAAGTTCACTTTCTCATTTCTTATTATTTTGTATATCAACACATTTCTCATTATTTGTTATTTGCACTAGATTAATTATAAATAAATTGTAAATAAAGTTATTATCATTATTATTATTAATCCTCTTTTAAAAATATAAAAAATCAAATCAAAATTCCTGTACATTTTTAAGAGGGAATATATGAGATCGCGCGTTTTGACTACCAACACAAAATCTCGCCAATAACGGGATATATTTAAAAAAAATATTTATATGCCGTTCTGTGAAAATGAAAAATAATTAACTTAATCGATTAACAAGTAATGAATATTGAACGGTTGCGATTTCAGTGGCAGAATGGGAGGGTGAAACGCTGGAAATGGCGCGGATTTCGAGATTGGATATGGGCGCATATTTGTGCATCGCCAGCAACGGTATACCACCGACAGTTAGCAAACAGATCAAAGTATCGGTCGATTGTAAGTATATTTTATGTCTATTTAATTGCAATGATCTATCGAAGATTAATGCCATCATTCTTACTCTATCAGAAGAGAAATCATTACTATAATCATTATAAAAAAATATGATCACAATGTATCGGCATCAGTCCCTTCTATAGCGTTTCTTCTGGCGTGACTTCTTCTAGATTTATTCATCTTTTATAAATTCGCGTAAATATTTTCTTTTTACTTATCTATCAAAGTTTATTACGATAATCATTAAATATTGATGTGCTTAGAGAAAATGATTTTAAATAATTTTGTCATACATCCCGATGACATCATAAACATATCTTCATTTAAAAGTTATAGTATTGACATAAAAAGAGAAATGTAAAAAGTAAAGATCCGAAAGGGATCGCATAATCAGATTTCGGAAAACCAGATTTCTCGGGAGAGTAAAGGTACCTGCCGACAAACAAGGTATAGACTGGCTGCAGCTGTGAGCCTCTAAGTGGCAACTGCGACATTGCACTACGCGTCGGTATAGTACGTTGCTTGGAGAAAGGGGTTCAACACATACAATTTAATAACATAGAAAGGAAACCGACGACAAAGCGGGCTTTACTGGGTCTCTCACCTCTCTCTCTCTCTCTCTCTCTCTCTCTCTCTCTCTCTCTCTCTCTCTCTCTCTCTCTCTCTCTCTCCCAGTAACTATCACGCAGGTTGCTCATCACGTCTCTTCTCTCTCTCACTCTCTCTCTCTCTCTCTCCCTCGCTCTCTCTCTCTCTCTCTCTCTCTCTCTCTCTCTCTCTCCTGCTTCTAGGTTGCTTGCCGTTGCGCTAAAATAAGCGTGCAATTGAAAGCGAGAGAGAGAGAGAGAGAGAGAGAGAGAGAGATGAAGACAGGGATAGAATGAGAGACGGCAACGGTAGAAAGGCAGCCAAAGGGGTGTTGAAAGTCACGATCATGTGTGAGTGCACGTGTCAAGGGAAACGATATATAGAGGGAAAGAGAAGAGAAAGAGACGGCGGAGGTTCCCTGGTGAGACATAAAAGTAAGCTCGGGCGAACCGCGACACACCATTACCGTTTTCACCCCTGTACTTGCCTATTGTTACGTTACTGCCTCTCCTAAATACCAGGCACGTGCCTCTTCTCCTCGTAGCTCCTCTATGACATGGTTTCCTTTACCGCTACACTCGCACTCGTTTGCTTCCGTTTCCGTATCCGTAGAACCGTTCACGTATCTGTTGATGTGGATATCTTGAAGTGGATCGCCCTTTATGCTTTTCTTCGTGTCTACAGACTTTTTCTTGCATCCGTATAAAGATCATAGAGACTTATAAGGATCGATTACAGACGCAAAAATTAGCAAAACGCTCACGATGCACGTATTAATTTCTTAATATATTTCTGAGGATAAATATAATAAAAAAAAGTAAATAAAACGCGAATTATATGACTGAATGAAGAAAGGATAGTACAATCCTGTGCCGTATTGCGTTACCTTTGAAAGCGCGGCTCCGCGATATTTAATTATTAATTATCCGTAAAGTAAAATTGCATCCGCCTTTTAAGTCGACTACAAAGAGATAGTGTAGAGCGATGAGAGCGGAAGTTTGTCGGAGCTTATGCAAAACATAATCTTCGTATTCTTAAGACAGCTCCCTCGAGTTTCCACGTAAGACCTAAGCCAACCCGAAGCGGCACACGAGAGATCTTACGGGAATGAGAACGGATGAGAAAACGAAATGATGATTTATCCATATAATTAAACTAAAACTAATTAATTCAACAGTGTCGAAAAGAGATACGTCGTAATTATGATTTGATTGAGACTCGAGAGAGCTATGAAGAAAGAGTAAATGTATTTGTCGCGGTTCTCGACGCGGATATGCTACGGATTATCCTTTTAGGCGTCTTTTAATTCTGTTTGCGACCGTGTAACTGACAAAACCTTTTGCCAATATTACCTTGGGCTCTTTTGGAATCAAATTACGATCAAATAATGCAATAGTTTTGTCCACGATTGTGTATATCTCATCGTCGTCGTCAAGAAATAAAAACTGCTGTTCCACACTACGTGCGAAGCAAAATATGAAATATTTGCTTCCAGACGCATTACATTTTTCTTAAAAAATTGGACATGAATAAATTTATACAAATTAAATATTGGAACTATACAATTGGTATGTGATAGAATATTATTGTAAAAATAAAATTTTTATATTTTTTCTTTATTAGTAATACGAATAGTTATATAAAGGAAATAATTGACAAAGAAGATAATCAATTTGTATCATTATAGTCACATATGGTTTACTAAATTTGTATAGAGAATAATTACGTACGAGAGTGATTAATATCTCATTACGCTTTTGCTTTTAAATATGTAGCTTTATTTCAATAGTCGGCTCCGAGATTAGTAGCTAATATTTACAAAATCTGAAAATATGTTGTAAAATTTCGTATATGGTATTTTGTGAAATGCAACGTATAGTTTCCATCGACAGAACACAGTTTTATCCAATTTCTCGTTTCAATCGTTCTCATTCATTCAAAAGAAACACTTTTAATATTGGCTCTTTCATTGACCCGTGGCCATTTCATATTATAACTTGTTTGCGTATAACGGCAGAATATTCCAATGGTCAATAACATCGGCACGAATTTCAGTAGTAACGAGGAATCGATCGTATATGCCAGATTAATATTTTGCAAGGTGAATTTTTACGTTTTACTTTTGCAATATGAAATTTTTCTTTTTTTTTTTAAATAGTTGTATAATTTTTTTTTGTTTCGCCATCGATATTACCGAGGGATGTAAAGTCTGATAGAACTGTTTCAGTATAAAAATATTTCAAGTAGCATGTACGTTACGATTTACACGCTAATATGTACAGAAGTCGATAGTATTTTCGCGATGATTACTAGACGATATCGTGGTGACACATTTTTAAAATACAAGTGCTGTAGCTGGGAGGCCAGCGGTAACACTTGGCGCGTTTTTACGTGTTCAAGCGGAGATTAATTAAATGGTTAGACAGATTACAACCATCTACCGTCGATCCTCGGTCTGATGACATTACAAGTTTACGGCCTGAAAAACTGTTATATACGTTTTTCATCTCGCCCCGCCTGCTGTTGCCGCTGTTTCTCCCTCGTAACTTCCGTCGGCAACGTGACGTACACAACGTGACAATATTGTAATACGATAATTATAAAGCTATCGTCATATTGTTACCCACGCCTGCAAACGTCTCGCGAAATATTTTCATCCTCGAATACGTGGAACGCCAATGCGATCGCAGTATCGCAATTGTTTGCCGGCGAATGTAATTTCAGCAAACACAATTGAACTCCCTTGTTGCATCCATTAATACAGTTAACAGAAGAGCAAACATTGTATCGTTGGTACCATTATTAATATTCTGCAAGTGTTGATATTTGGGAAACGTACATATATGCTTATATTTAGATATTTTATCCATGCGCATTGTACTTGTAAACTTACAAAATTATGACACGCTTACAAATATCATCGACTTTTTTAATGTTTACATCCGACAATAGTTTTGATTAAAAAATTTTGACTTTTTAATCTTTGCATTTTTATCGTTTGCTAAAGAAATATTTATATTTTGCATTATATATTTGTCAGCATTTCTGACAATTTTGAATTCAGTCCTTTATGACAATTATAATGATGCAGAGCTTACTTTTACGTATGCATTTTAATTTTTGAATATGCGAAACGATATGCGTATCTCGTCAAAGAATATTATTTCCAGCAAAATAACATCCTGCTAAAGAATATAATTTTCGTCTCTCATTAGTTAGCGCGAATTTAGGATGATAAAGTCACCATTTCCGACTCGGACAGACGGACTTGTTGATGAGGGGGAGAAAGCTGAAATTACGTATAACGCGTTCTGCATAAATTTCCATTAAGAAACGCGGGTGTGTAAACTAGAATTTTTGAATAAAGTTCCAGAAACGTTCAACCTTTGATTTTTTTCAATTTTTTTTCCAATTTGGTCACAACGTACCAAATAACTCTAATTGAGTTTGCTTGTGCGCCGAAGAATTTTCAGCATAAACGAGATTAAATCGAGATAATGTTTAAAAAACTTAATTTTTGGTTGTATTTAGCTTCACATTTATTTTTATTCGAATTATTTAATTTTTCGAGTTCACTAATTAGAGATACAAAAGCAATTGTACAAATATTCATTTTTATTGAACAGAACTTTAACTTTTTTAATATGTGAAATATGCTTCAAAAATGGATTCAGCATTGGTGAACAGTAACAACAGTTCGTATAAACAAATAATCTATTTCGCTATATTTTCGAATTGTTACCGTTATATATACAAGTATAATATGCTATATAAAATTTATTATACATATTTTATATATATATATATATATAAAACATACTTATATTTATATACATTTTTCACGAAGAGACAGCTGTTGTTTATCACAATACATTTCGTTTGTAAGGCTACTAGCGCGATAAATGGCCCGATCTGTTTGCAATAAACGGGACGCGATAAACTATTCACACGCAAGTACACGTAGTACAGACGCATGGGTGCAATCCATCACGGCTCCTGCTAATTTTATTTATCGCTCTTACCGTCACCGAAGATGCCCTCCGTCAGACGGAGAGCGAAATGAGGTTGCAGGTCACGGAAAGAATCGTTTTAATTTATTCGAACGTGTCCGCTGTTCGTGTAGGTGAGTATAGGTATCGCATTTGTACGGAATGTACCGGCGGCGAAACATTGCAGAGAATGCGGCACAGGGGTGAGGAGGGTTATATCGGGGGTGGCAAAAGGAGTAACAGAGGTAGTGGCGGCAGCGGCGGCGACGACGACGGCGGCGTCGTCGCCGTAGTCACGTATAAGCAGTGACTCAGACGCGATCCTTCTCTCTCTTTCATCTTCCTTTCCTTGTCCCTCGGGTTCCGGTGCTAACATCCCTGCGTTTCCCTCCCTTGCCTCCCAGTAGCAATCTGTTATTAAAA